CCTGGGTAGTTGGGCTAATTTTCCTCAACCCCCAGACAGCACATACACCACCCACCTGGACTCCTCAAAATTGTGGAAAACAGTGAGGGTTCATTTCTGCAGGGCAGGAATTCTCAGCCAGGGTGATGGGGCATCCTAGGGTGCCAGAGGATCCATTCAAGGTTACCACTGAAGTGTGAGGAAGTGAATAAGATCAGGCTTAGGCTTAGGCTTGTGCTGCCTGGCTGCTACCCCACCTCCACTTCCCAGCCCCTCTGCAAGGAGGTGAGCATTGTAATCAGTTTGATTTTTAAGTGAGGTGCAGCTCAATTCACAAAAGTTATGCTCTGAGTCTAAAAAAAGGTTGAAAACTACAGCTGTAGCAGCTATATAAGACAACTGTCAAGAGTTGTGATGTGATCTTATACAAGACTACCAGCAAGGAGCCATCCTGGTTTGCTTCAAGACTGAGAGAGTCTTAACTATTATATACCAGAGAGGATATGGCATTTTTGCCCTTTCTCCAACACAATAAAAGGAAGTCTGAAAGATTTAAACCCACAGTAATAGATTCTGCTTGTTTTTACCTTAGCTCTAGGTGGAATAAGAGTTCTTCCTTGCTTTTTTACATGGGACTGGTATTTAAAGTAGGATATTTCAGCTGAAGGAGCAGGGACAGTGAACTGCAAAATGCTTTTCAACCAAATTTTTTTGTGTCTTAGTTTTTGAGATATCAACCTACTAATTCTCCAGTCATTCATAGTACCTTCCAAGAAACACAGAGTAAACAACATTTAAAAAAAGGAAAGAGAGAGCGAGAGAGAGAGTGTGTGTGTGTGTGTGTGTGTTCAGGCCATTTTAATCTTACAAGAAATAAAGAACCACAAAGAGTGGCAGTATTATAATTTTATTTCAGAACTTACTGTAAAGATCTCTTGACTCTATTGCTACATATTTTCAGTTTCACTTACCTCCCCTCACTCTTAGCAACAGCATTTAACATTGTAGAGTGCTGATAGCGCTAATCTGTAGAATCAATTCTTGGTTCCAGAATTTTAGGAGGTTTTTTTGGTTCCTTGACCATGTCAAATATCATTTCAGAGTTTGTCCAAAACGTTCATATGTACAAAGCATGCCGCCTGGGGTAGAGATGTAATTAGCCAGGTTAGTCTGAAGTCAAGCAGAAAGCAGTTAGATATGCACCTTATAGACCAGTGATTCTCAAAACAGGGTGCCATAGCCCCTTGAGACCTTTTTAAGGGTGATGCAGGAGGCCACACATTGCTAGCACTGTTAAATTTACAAGCATGATTCACAAGATAAATCCTGATATTTCAAGTAGAAATCCATAGTTGTGGTCTGAGTTCTTTGCAACAGAAAAATTGCTGTATGTTTCTGTAGTAAAAAAAAAAAAAGTAAAAAGAGCTGGCATTTTCTCAGGGGTGCCTCAAGTCTGTCCAGGGGTGCCTTGAGTTTAAACCACTGTTATAGACTAACCAAAGCAGCCTGCATTATCAGACTCTTTGGAGAGGGTGAAACTTCATTTTTAAAAGCAATTGATGAGCTGTGTTTTGCATTTACAATATCTTGCTCTCCTCAGTCTGTGGTGGAATGCACACAAATGTCAATGGGATGTTTCCACAGTGGAAGCATATTACCAGTACTTATTTGATTTATATGCTGCTTTTCCCAAAAAGGGTCAGGGCAGTTTACAATAAAAACAAAACAAAGAAACAAAGTCCACAGAACAAACTTGCCCCCCACAAAAAACCCCAAATTTAGAAACTATACACTCCCTGGCCGCATCCAGACGAGTAAGCACATGGCTCTTGCAGTGCCTCAGAGCAGTTTGAGATGCCACAAGAAGCACCCTAAGAACGAAATAATGTTCCTTGTGCTGCATATTTGCAGTGCGGGCTCTAAATTTGATACTGGAAAATCCCTGTTGGCATGGAGCTGGCCTGGCCCGACAGCACTCGGGGCACATGGAGGCAGGACCTGGCTTAGCTTGAGGGCATTCAGCTTCTGCCTGCAGTGCTGGAACCCCAGGCGACAGCAAGAGTGGCCTGGTTGTGTTTGAGGGTGCACACCAGTGGGCCAGGCCTAGGCCCTGCCAGGAGCGAGCATAAGTGATCCAATAGCCAGTACTGCTGCTGCTGTGGGGGGGAAGGGGGTGGGCTGTGGGGGGTGGACAGGGATCCACCCCTGCCGAGCAATCCTTCACCCCCCCACACAGTCCCTCCACACCCACAAACTCCCCCACAACCCCCCCACTCACATACCCACCCACAAACCCCACATCAGCACAAACCTAACCCCTGTAAACCTCACAGGTGCTGGCCCCAGCCTCCAGCTCCCCCTGGCTGAACATCTGGGAGGAGCTGGGCAGGGTTAGTTTGCCCCAAGTGGCATGATTTGCCCCACACCAAAGTGCATGTTCAGGCATGTGTGCTGAGGCACAAATCTCCAGCACAAATTTGTTCGTTCCTATTTGAGCTGCTGCAAGCACATGCGTGGACACACCCCTTTTGACTCCCCTACCTCTGACTAGGGAGAGCATCCTACCCTTCCAACCCCCAGTTCAACCCAACCTCAGTTCTCACATCATGGGTGTGTACAGAAGTGCTCTGTGCACATTTTACAGTGCTGTAATTTAGAGCAGTTTTTATAGCATTATAAAGTTACAGCACTCTTAAACATGACAGAAGTGCACTTTCCAGGTTAGGGGGTAGGGGGCGCTCCACAGAGAAGCAGCTCTGGGCAGGCTCCAGTATACAGAAGTTATTAAAGTGCTGTAGGTTGCCAAAGTGCTATAAAATACAGCACTGCAAATTTAATACCTCATATAACAAGGGTTAGTTTAAAGCACTGTACCCATTTCTAAAGTGCTGTAAAGCTGTGCACTTCTGTTAAGTTATGGCAATAAAGCACTTTAGGTAGTGAAAAAAGCAACTTCTGTAGACACCCCATGTTCCTAACTAAATTTTATTGATTACCATCACTTTTTCACACCCATTCGTATATCCAGAGCCTTAGTGAGAGAAAACGCATTCTTCTTAAGCCACTAGTATTTTTATGCTCTTTTTTTTCCTGTATCATCATCCTCTCTCTGTTTTTCCCTCTCCCCTGTGTAACTTATGCCAATATTATACTTGAAACACTGCACATTGCAAAGATTAAGCCTGAACCTTGAGATGAAAAAACGAGACGTTGTAGTTTGAATTAGAGGACCAGATTTGTAAGCTCAAATATAACAGCCAAATTAAACCCCTCTATGTAGTATAGCAAGCAGAAGGGTACAAAGACCCATACAGTGCTAACTTAAGTTACATATGTTTGTTAGTCTCCCTCTTTACTTCCATTTGCATTACTTTCTTTAAGACAACTCCAGAGCTCTATCTCCCTCCCCCCCCACTTCCATTTTCTATGTGCAAGTTAATTCATCTGTCTGATGATCCTGAAAAGCATCCTTGTATTAGTTAAACTCAGTTCACACTTGAGTTTTCATAGTCATGAAAGCTAAACAATAAGGCCAGGCCTGTGCCTGTTTTTCCCCACTCAGCTGTGGCAGTCAGGAAGAATGAGGTGTGATTAGTGGCTGGACTAGCAAAATTTCCAATGTAGATGCAGTTATACCAGTAAAATTGACCTTTTGCTGATGTCAGGTTTTTCATGCAGGGGTGGAGTGTAGTATGAGCCATGAAGACAAAGCAATGTTTGTCAGTAGAAGCTATGTCCATATGAGCACACTGCTAGAACTGGTATTTGCTGATAGAGCATACTGGTATAACTATACCAGCAAAGTCCATATTACACAGACTTTGCCTTAGAGTGAATTTTAGGCCCCAGACTTGGAAAGTCAGAATTAAATTATTTTTAATACAATTTAAATATGACATGAGGGCCACAAATACATCAAGCCAGCAAAGTCTGACCTGTGGTCCACAAGTTCAACATCTCTGGTGCAGATGAAGGCAGACACTGG